AATGATAAAGTTTAAAATTTGCTTTTTATAAATTTCTAAAAAGCGTTTCAAACTTTTTAAAAAAGTTTTCATTCAAAAATTTTGCTCCTTGTAAAGAGCTCATAGAGAGCTAAACTCGAACTGATAAACTTAGCTAAAATCCATTGAATAATAGCATTTTTGTTCGAATTTGAAGTAATTTTGAAGTAAAATTTTTCAATTTTCATGCCTCACTTATTACATTATACGTTTTTTCATATTTTTTATTCATGTTTTTTTACTGGCAAGAATTGCGTTTAATTTATAATTTTTTGCTATAATTTATGATGCTTTTTGTATATTTCCACCATTTTATTCAGAAAAATAAGTAGTTTCTATCGTAAAAAAGTGATTTTCAATATTTTTTCAAAAAATTGAAATTTTTTAGGTTTGAATTTAACTAAAATTGCAGTAAAAATATTTTTGCTTCATTGTTTTTTAATAAATTATTATGATATTTTTCGCTAATAAATGACTTACTGATTGAGGTGTCGATTGGATGAATGCAAGTATTGAACTGTCGATGGATCAATTAAATGGTCAAAGTTCGATTTTGAAGTTTGCAAATTAGCAAATTTTTGAATAAATTCTGCCTGGGGATGATTGTAACTCAGATCACATTTATGAGGGGTCAAATTACTGTGGCTTGAAATAATCGAAGGTGAACAAACTTCCTGTGCCTATTAATAATTCAGTTTTAGTATTTATACAAAATTTTTGCATATATATAAAAAAATTTTACCATTTATCAAAATTTTGAATCAAAGATTGTCATTAAAAAGTTTATTGTAAAAATACAAATAATTGATATTGAAATAAACTAAAGTAATCTCTGCCAAAAACTGCTTTTTAATAATTAGCTAGATGAATGATAAATTTAGCTACAAAATTATGCAAAATTTATACCTTTAATAGTTTATAAAATTTTTAAAATTTATAAATTTTAAAATTTTTATAAACTTTTATAATTTTTTTGTTTGTAAATTATTTTTTGAATACAGCAATCTTTTCAGTATTTTACATTTGTACAAATAAAAGTAAATCAAATTAATTGACCTTTTATAAGCAAACTAAGGTGAAAGGTCACAGCCATTCTCAAGCTATTCTATAACAACGATATAACAAAAAAGTATGTTTTACTGGAAAAGTTTTTTTGCAGAGATATTAGCATAAGCACTTGAATTTATATAAAATAGCTTAAGCTAACAACATCGTTAAACTTCCATTCAATCATGCTGCAAGAGAATATTTTGCATGTAATCGAGAATGAACAGAAAATTTAAAAAAAATCTGCTTTGAAAATTATCTGAATTTAATAGTTTACAAACTAAATATATGCAAATTAATTGCTAGTCATTTTTCTTAGTTTTGTTTATTTGTATTTACTTATTCAATAAGTATAATTATAAAAAATATTAATCACACTTTGTGTTAAGTAGAAATTTTGCTAATTTTATTCTTTGAAGCAATTAACTTTAATTCAAAATTTATGAGTAAACCAAGGTGAAACGTTTAAAATTTAAAAGTTAATTAAGGCAAAAAGTTCCAACATATATTAATATAAAAAATAATTGTTTTAAAAACTTTTTGAAGGAAAGTTTATTAGGATTAACTATTTTTATGTCTAGCAAAATGCAATAATAATTAATCAGAAGTAAAATGAATATATTTTTTTGTAAAAAACATCAAACATATATTATTATAAATAAATAAATTCAATTAGTTGTCGATAATTTGTGTTTGCAATTTATTAAATCAACAAATTTAATTATAATAATTTTGCGCACAACCTCAGCTCAAATTGAAACAATTCTAATTCAGATGCAATAAAAATTTGATTAGACAATAATTTTGAAACTGATATATTCATAAAAATTTTGAAGTATTAATAAACCTAATTTTTGTGTGCCCTTTAGTTTATAAAAAATATTGTAATCTTAAATACAGTTTTTAAACATGAAGCAAATTTTTTAAATTCGATGTTCTGGTAGTTTACGGATTAAGTTTCAAAAAGTTCCAAATTTATACACAAACTAAAAAATGAATTTATGCAAATAAAAGGTCTGTAATTAATTGTTTAATTCGTTTTATAATTTGAAAATTTAAAAATTTTCGTAGTAAAATTATTTGTCAGTATCTGTGATTATTTGTTCAAATTAAAAACAAGCATAAGAATTATAAAATGCAAGTGTAAATAATATTTTCCAAAATTTTAATCA